TTATTACATTTCCATGGTGAGTTTCTTTATCGAATCGCTGGTTAAGTGTAAAACGCTTTCTCGATCAGCGGTTAACAAATTTGGTCTTGCCATCGAATTTGTCGGAACTTAAGCATCAGGGTCTCTGTGTACAAACGCGTTTACTATTAGAAAACTTTTTCGACCGATAGACTTTGAGCTTAATCCCAATCGAATTACAATCGAGTGAGAACTCAGAAGTTGAATAGTATTCAGAGCAACACGAAATCGAATCATTGGAATTCGTGAGTATTGTAAAAGGTCACTAAATTTCGTTTAAAGGTTTAATGCTAGTAAGAGTTCCTCCGGAAGACGCTAGATCTCAAGGTCGGGTCGTTACACAAACCTCTCCCGCGTGTATCGATCCGACAATATTTTTTAATTGCAGTAGATCAACTGCACATGCAACGCTTCATGCGTTGTTTCAGTATAATTTACAGATGAACTTTTGGCTACCTCAAGACATGAGTCGGATATGCAGGAATACAGGTTCTTTGTAGGGATAACTAACCAGGAAATCAACAGAGTATGGGAGTAATTATGGTTTAAATAACTATATGTGAAGCTTAGGAAAGATATTGAGGTCAGATGTTCCCACCAGTAAACTTGGTTATTTTAGTTCCTGGTGAAAGTCCAAATAGTAATGAAGATTTGGAAATGATAATAATGAACAATTAGATGTTGCATGTGATAAGTCAATTTTCAGGAGGCTAGTGTCATTGCAGGAGACACATAAATGGTGAGTAATTTTTGTCATAATAATAAAAGCTACCCTTTTATGGATATATTGAAATTCCCCATACAGATTTCGCAGGCTTGCTGTTTATCTGTAAGATGTGACGTAAACAGTATTTTACATATATAAGTACCTGCTCAATAAATTTGAACAGTGTGCAAGATAAAAATATACACAGTTAACCCTGTCGTTGCAGCCGTTTAACGGGGTCTTCAGAATAATAATAACAGGGCGTCCCTCTAAACCGGAGATTATAACACGCAGTTCTATTCTTCGGATTGTCTGGCAAGAATCACGCGAACGTCGCGTTTATTTGTAGAATCACAATTCGGAAAGGTTATTATTGGTTAAAACATATTTCGGAAAAAATAACATATAAAAAATTTAGCTTCAGTTATTATGTACAGTTTAGAACAATTAATAAAGTTAGGGTGTCCGATACTTTTGTCCAGGTAGTATATTACGACAGAACTATAAATCTGTTGGCCAGATACCAAGATTAACATCAATAACCTGCTCTCGTTAGAGCACCCATATACTGAGGATAAATTAAAAAGTTTCGTTAATGAACTGCAAACCAAACTTAATACATTCCGGAAAGAATTCGGCACCAATGCTCGTGAATATATTTCTACGTATGCGGTTTTCCCTATACAAGATCACACAAATGAATCACCATGATTAAGCGTGGGATAGATATGGATAAAAGTCACGGTAGACTACATGGTAGAGATGGTTAAACTGTTATGCGAAAGCAAAAGAGGAAGTGTGAATAAGGGAATAGCTCAGGTTCTTGTGCAAATGCACAGCGCAATAGAAGAACAATTAGGTAAACGCAAGCACGGCCAAATGGAAAAAGCGATGTTCGGAATAGTTACAACTGGAAAACAATGGCGATTCGTTGGACCGGGTCATTGGAAGAACTGACGGTTTAGAGTAGGTTGCACTTTAGGGGCAATATGGAATCCGAAAAAAGTGTTAATATTAATGTATATTACTCAGATATTATAAGCCCAAGTAATGGCATTTGGTGTTAATTATAAGGACAATGGCCGTCCTTCAAAACATCAATGTACTAGTCAAAAAAAAAATGAACTTCATCATATACAGTCAGACCCCCCACAGTCACCTATTTCATTTCCCTAAAAGTGTTGACTGTATGGAGGTGTGACTGTATAAAGGATTTCTCATTATGTCATGTGATTGTGCTCTTTGACTATTTATTTACAAACATGGTTGCTTACTGTTTATTACTATTGCTAGTGTGAAGAACTCATAGTAATGTAAATGAATAAAGCAAAAATTTTTATTTTTTGTTGCTGTGAGCATAGCAAGTTTAGGAAGCAGAGTTGGGTTATAATGTATCAAAATTCTGATCTGCAACAAAAATAATGGGTAAACACAAAATTTAAGTCACTTGAAGTGACTGTAAAGGGGTCGATTTACTATCAAAAAAGCCTTTTTGACCTCTCAACAAGTGTAAAATTAGTAATGTGACTAGGGGGATTTAAGAGTCCGTTCCGCAAAAATCTGGGATTGTAGGGGGTGTGGCTGTAAGTGGTGTGACTGCTGAACTGGTGATCGGATTGTATTTTATACTAGATGGATAAAGCCTTTAAACCTTGCTCGGATTCCACACCAGTTCTGAAAATTAATCAAATGGTCATACTTGATGGCAATCGCGCATACGAACATGAAAATACCATAGACCGCATGTTTACGCGTTTCTAATATATTAAAAGAAATAGTATTACAATAGGTAAGATCATAAAAATAAGGATCTATGCTTAGTTCAGTAATACGTGAAAATACAAGATATATGTAGTGCGTTGTGTTGAAAAATAAAAATAATTGCTTAGGTCCTCGATCACAGACAAAATTTGAGGGTTTTTGCATTATAGTCTTATCTATTACGTGTTTGCTCCGCAATAAAACATATTACATATAATTTTTAGAACATCAATATTGAATAGTGACTTGAAGACACTCAAATTGTATACAATGTCATTAAGTGAACGCGCAAAGTATGAAAATGAACATAAAGGCGAGATTTTAAGCTGTGAGCATATCGCAGAAAACTTTTTGTTGTGTAGCGAAAATACAGTAATAGCTAATTCTTCTTCTTCTTCTTCTTCTTCTTCTCCTTTGCCTATTCACTTTGTCATGATCCCTAATCTTATCGTTTTTAGAATATTTAAACATGTTTGTTTACAGTAAACTTTGTCCGTTACAGAACACAACACACGTGAAAGTCGAATTCATTTAAGCGTATTTTTTTTATTGTTTAACTGTTTAACTTAAATATCGATCTTATGACGGACTTTTGTAAGTTTAATTAAAAATCCCGGCGTAAATATATATTATAGACAAAACCGCTGGTCCCGAACAATCAGTTATATCGACTTTTACTGTGTATATTATTTTTATAATTCGAACTTCTACGAAATATAACTTTAACCGTATAAACCAAGAACCTTATGCGCCTACTAGAGATGCTCATCGATTGATAAATATTATACGAAAACTGCGATTCCAAATCTAGGTCTATATTCATAATAAGACATGAATATGTCATTATGAAACATATCGATTTGACATGGCAAAATCTCAAAACAAATTGGTCTTACTGAGACTGAACTGCTTTTAACAGACGACGACTTTATTAGTTGCCCCAAATAAGAGCTGGGACGGCTTATTGGCACAGTCGAGCATCTTAAATTCTCTGTCTTTGCAGCTCAGAAGTGTACATTATAACGAAGCTATTATTGTCATATCTTTAGGAAATCATTGGGAGCGAATACAAGGATGAAGACTCTAAATACTTGACTTATGTCCACGACTTTCCGCAATAAAAAGAAACTTGAAGCGACTTTTTTAACGCTTGGCCGCAGTCCATTATGCGTTGTACAATCAAACAGCAATACTAATACCGACACTTTGAAGACTGCTCTTCCGACAGTTAACTTAACCTTATTCCACAAATGTGCTGCACGTGAGGAGTCATCTTAAACTCGGATTATGAAATTGACCCTCCCCCCCCTCCTTTAAAGCAAACATGAATTATGATTTATTCAGTTATTTACGATAAATAGCAAGCAATGTTTCAATCGGTTGCATCAGCTGACAAATAAATAATAGGCTGAAAACTTGACCAATGGAAACCTCATTGATCGAGACCACAAGATCGAGAGACAGACAGAATGTTGATTAAGTATAAAAAGAATTGACCTATAATATTAGAGGAAGGACGAATAAAAATAGAGTACATTAAGTTTACCCCCCTGAACCATCTTCATATTAATAAATTACATAATAAATAATCGGACATTACGATTGATTGTACCAGAGGTTTTGACATCATTCATGCTGTACCCCAGAGATTACACGTATGATTGGATAACAATAGCAAACATCATGTGATCTGGATTATGAGCACTGCATTTGTTTACATTTATTTTGGTTATATTTGGTGCATTGACACGAAATGAGGTTCTTTTGGTCGCAATTACGCTTGGCCAATCACATCGACAATATCCGGAATTCTCTTCGTATGTTTAATTTCTGCAAATGTAATTGATTTGCTCCGTGCATTGAGATTACAATCGCTTATTATTCCATTGGTCGCTTTTACGTCCACGCCCTCGGCGATGCGGGTACAATTTATATTGGGCATTGACGAGATATAAATGTTTTATGTGCATAGCAATAACACAATCCCCGATCCCAAGTCATCACAGATATGTACTCCAATTGTGTCAATCCCCACGCATACAAAAGTTCCCATTCACCATTTCCCAAACGATAGAATCACGTTTTCCTAATCAGTCTAACATACCCGCGGAGTTTAACCCACCGAAGCAAGCATTCATCCTAAATTTGCTCTCCCCCTTTCATTCATTCATACCATTCGGAGATCTATAAATATAGGTAGCGTCAGGATTTTCTTTTTTGCATTTATTATTTCATTTCTTTAATTCATATCATAACTTTATATTTCCAAGAGAGAAAGTTATTAATACATTATAATTGAACTAACTGTGCACACCTCCTCTCCCCCTATACCACAACGATATAGCATTAGAAAGATCATCTCCAACCAGTTTAAACCAAATATTTCCATCCTTATCTTCATACTCCATTTGTTTACACCCGTTTTTGACCAGCCGGCCCCGACTCTGAGTCGATTTTAACCTATAATACACATTATACAAGTACTCTCCCACGACACGAAACACTCGATAATACCATGCATTTCAACACTCAGTTACTCAAAAGAAAACTCGACGGAGACGACCAAGTTGAAGTAAGTACAGCAAACAAACTTGTCAACTGCAAACGCGGGGACAGGGGGTTTGGAGAAATTGGAATGAATATCACAGTCGGTTTGAAAATAACGATATCTTTTGTAGTTGCATGTTTATCACTTTATTGTTATTGGTTACTGTTACTGAAATATATCATAACATGGTGTGAATAACAAACAGATGCCCTATTTTTATTTAATTTCGTGTTTTAAGCATATTACTGACATTGTCCTTTCTTTCTTGTTTTCTAACCCATCTCTATTTCTTCCCACACGCACTTCTCTACACTTCCTTTACACGTTGACCTTTCGCATTCACCTCCTCTTCTTGAACCTCCTCACATCCATACCCTAGCACGATGTTCGCACAAAGCGTCACAACCACCTCCACTCACCGCCACTCTTCAGCGATCTTCACTCGACATCTACATTCGCCATCCCAAACCCTCAAACCTTTTCGTTAGCTTCCGCCTCTTCTTCCTCTTCAACTACACCTCTCTCAACATCCGCGCTTGATTCTGACTCCATGTTAATCGACGAAATACCGCTCTTTATGAATCCGAGTGTGATCGATTCATTCAACGCAAACCCAAACCAATTCCATCATCATCGCGGAGAAACCTTGCCACCGTTCATGACAGGACGAAATGCTGCGACTGCAGGCGTTGTCAGAGGAGTCACGGTAGCTGGTACGAGAGAGAAGATTATCAGAGTTGGTGGGTTTGGTGGTCACATGGTTTAGAAAGTGGGGGAGATGGAGTGCTGTCAAGTCGATTGGGGCCGAAAGAGAGATAATCAATGTAATGGATGCAATAATTTGTCGAGATGCAGAAAGCATCAAATCCTTCCCCTTTTTCTGCAGAATGAGAGATGTTTGTCATTTTGCTCGTTCATGTGGTGGAATTGAACACGTTTCACGGTACATCTTACATGCCGATTTACGACGATTGAGGAGAGACAAGTCAACTCACACTTTATTTCCCTGTACATAATTCTTTTAACCTGTTTTTCCTCACGCTTTCTACGTAATAATATTTCACTCGATTTTAGCCTTTCGTTGTGATCATTTGAATGGATATATAGTTGGTCTTGGTCTTGGTCTTGGAAACAAACAAGTGGCCTTTCTCTTCTGAATGGTTGATGAACATTTTCTTTCTTCTTTTCTTTGATACTTTATGGTTTCATTTCTGATGCTTGGTAATTAGATGAATAATAAAAAAGTTTCAAATTTGCGCATATCGTAATCGGTAAAGTCTCCGGAGTCGGGAACGGTGCATGTACCTTACACGTGATTTTATGCAGCCATAAATCACCAGACTTTGTTATGCATGAACATGTCACGTGACACAGATGCACAACCCCCATTTTTGATGCTCACAATAGAAATAGTAATAGTGATAGGTGCCACTAATAATAATAAAGCCGCATCCAAATAACTCGTGTAAATGCAATTTTAGGGCAAAAAAGCTATGCAGTGGTTTATTTATTTATATGTAGATATTTTAACGGAATGACCATAAAGAGATGCTCATTAATTCAATCATAATATTAATGCGTCATAGACCCTGCAATTGCCACAACTCTATTGGTCGCATTCTCTATGAAATATATCATCTTTGTTGTTATTATTTAGATAGTACAACTGTCTCAAAAGAAAATTGTAACACTGTCGAAACATATGCATATATATATACGTATTACTACTTTTCATTTTGGTTACAGAGTAAATAACCCGAGTTCGACAAAGAAAGGTTTTCATGTTTTAGCGAAAAAGGCGTTTATCAAAAGTTACATTGTATCACTTCACAAATCGTTGTGATATTCACGGACGGCATTATTCTTATTAACACCGCCGTGGGTATTCATCGATGCATAATTACATAATACTTCATCACCTGTTTAAATCCGGGCGTTTTTTTTTTCTCTCGTAAATGGGCTACATTGCGATGGCCGATGATATTCTACCATGTCAAATATGGCAACATCTCAGAAACAGTAAACTCGGGTACTCCGTAATGGGAAACATTATGTTGCGTCATCTGCATTGATATCACGTGAATTGAACTTCTTGGCACTGGTTTCTTTTTGTTACGGATTGTACAAGAGGACAAAACTAGAAGAGGAAGAAAAAACAACAACAAAAAAAAAGGACAGTGGGAAATGGAAAGAGGTATGAGGTTTTCTGATTCCTTAGTATCACGAACACACCTATTTCTCTTTGTTGGCTCTTATCTATTGCTAACCTTATCGTTATTTTTGGAACCTCTAAACGTACCGACTTATTAATAATTATAACAGATCATGTGCAGGTAATTGTGACAGAATGTACCTTTTATCCTAACCCAAATATAGACACAAGATTCCATACTAATACAGTAGAAATAGACTCAAAGTTTTGTGTGATTAGAGACCAACATACCACTCGATTCAATTCGGCATTATGCACAAATCGTGCTTTCGCTTCACGCCACTTTCACAACCCAGTTCCGGAACAATTCGGAAGACATACCTAGTTAATGTGATACAGCCTCAATTTATACCACACGCGGACTGGTGATATCTGGGTGACAAGGTTTAATATTTTTAGAATATGACATAAAGATTACAAATGCAGTTCTTATAGGATTGTCCGTAATAACAAACATACATTGCATATTAACATACAAGCACTCCTCGAATACACACAGCTAGTTACAGTAGACCTACATACAACATTGTTTGCAGCTTATATCTTAGCATTATGGGTACATATGCATTTGACACACATAACACGTACTTGTCACTTGACTCGACACCACCTAAACTCACTATTGTCGTATGACATAACTTCCGAGTCTTTCCGATAAAAAATATATAAATAGTCGTTCATCAAATCTCTTGTTCCCCTCCTCCCCACTCTTGTATCAACGCCACCCTTCGAAAAAAAATTTTTTTTGCCAATCTTACTCTTAATTTTCTCTTTCTTATTGCCTCTTGTATCGTACGATACATTCCATGGTATGCGAAATTGCTGTGATCAGAAAAAATCGCATAAATCGCAATCGCCCTCATTCATAAGCTACACTATTCATTGATATCCAATTGCTCAGGCCCACTCCATCCAATTGACAAGATGAACGCAAGATCGCAACCTACCAAACAACAGTCAAACACTAGTAAGACTAGTATTAACATGAAAAACGGTAACAAGACGCAATTGGATACATCTCTCTCCACTGCCCCGCCGCTTAAAACGCTCCCTCCACGTCGTAACATTTCTCAACTGGAGAATTTCGCTCTGTGTGCATTGGCACCTAGCATGGCGGTGGTTTTTACTCTACCATTCGATACGGTCAAAGTACGAATGCAGCTGCAAGGAGAGGTCAAGATTGCAACTGGAAATACCGTGAAAGTTTCAAACAAAGTGAGTCATAATATGATGTTATTTGATTGGTCCGGAAATTTTTGTTAATTATTGTGAAACCATGTTATATATAATCATATGTGTAATACAAAAATGACCGAATTATGATTCATCATTAATACCCTATTGTTTGATCGAATAAAAATTCATTTATCATGTTGTAGATATCAGAATGCAGAAAGATATTCACTATATTATCAGATTATGTTTATTGATTCAAAACTTTAACACTTTCTCTAGGTCTACAAGAACAGTATCGACTGTCTGGTAAAAACTTTCAAGTATGAAGGGTTGCGTGGTTTGGAGAAAGGCTTGTCCCCATCCATACTCAAAGAGAGCTCAAAGAATGTCTTTCGTCTGGTAATCATTGATAATCTATTTTTCAGTTTTTAATTCTAAAATTTACCCCTATTGGTTATATTCACAATTCATGTTTCTCTTGTGTTTCCCCACTCCCTGCCTATCGTCTAGGGTTTATACGATCCAATTATCAACATACTCCATCCAACAAACGACTCAACATCCTCATCCTCTGCGCCAGCCTGGAAACGCATGCTTTCCGGTGGAATTTGTGGAGCTCTCGGTGCCGTCTCTGCGAATCCATTCGAATTAATAAAAACGCGTCTCCAGGCAACAGCTGCTGGAGCTATTGCTGTTGGTAATCAGCATAGATATTCGTCTATCCTTGGTGCTCTGAAGAGTGTCGTTAGTGAAGAAGGCGGCGTCAAAGGACTGTACAGAGGATCGATAATTAGTGTAAACAGAGGGATTCTTGGTAGCGCGGCTAATCTGTCGAGTTATACCATGTTGAAAGATTCTGCAAAGAAGAATGGATATAAAGACGGAGTGCCACTGGATATGGGCTGTAGTTTGATTAGTGCGTTTGTCAGTGTCGTGTTTATGAATCCTCTGGATGTTGTGTAGGTATCAAAATTGATTTGTATTCATGATGTTATCGTGAAATCACATATCAATTGAACGCTTTCGATTTTTTCCTGTTATAAAAAACAATATTTTAATCGTTTTTCTTGTTTATATCCAGTCGAACACGTCTATACAATGCTAAATCTACGTCTCAAGACACAAAGCAAAAGATGTTTGCTACAATCAATACCATCATTCGTACTGAAGGCTGGACCGCATTATATCGTGGATTTTCCACTCACTTTATGCGTATTGGACCGCATTTCTGCCTAACTTTTGTCATTCTTGAGGAGCTCAAACGGAATGTTAAGACATTCCATCACCAGAGAGATTTGCGAGAATTTGCACAAAAGGCAGAGATGAAAGTATTGTCTCCCGTGGGGACACAATGAAATTTAGGACTTTTCCTGTGACATTTTTGGTGATGTGATGTATTAATGTAAGACATAATTTCAACTTGGGGGAGTTTATTATGTGAGTAATGCAGGTTTTTTATTAATTACAATATACAATCTAATGACGATCGAATTGAACTATGTTTGAAGCAACAACAAAAAAGTAGTTAAAGTTAATATGACTTATAACCTTTCCCGTGCTTAAATCATCCCTTTATACCGAATTTATTATTATTTTCTACCCTAATTCCCCCTTATGATAACACCCGGGATAGGTTCCAAAAGTATGACACCTTTTAGGCTAGTTTATATATGCTTTGGTACAATTTTGGGTCAATAAAGAATTCTCAGAGACACTCTTTGCTCAGTATTTATTTATTAAAAAACAATCCTTTGGTGAGAACTATGATGTATCATTTCTTGTGAATGATCAACATGACGGGGGAAGACAAATGTTAGAAACCGTTAATTGCGCCTTCTGAATGATATTAATATACAGTGTCATAAGCCAACAACACAGAGACCAGGTACTGATTGATCGTTTCAAAAATGTCAAACTTCCCCACACGGGCTTTGCAAGTATATTTTACCAATTCAGTTAGATAAGACCCTTGTGAAGTTGTCCCAATAAAGAGATGACGATTGACGGTCCCAACGTGGGCTAAAATGGGGAAAAAAAAGGTTTCAATGCACGTATTATATGTGTGCCATACATTCATATGTGGTAACAACATCTGACATAACTTGTCGGGTCGAAAGTGTTGTTCCACAAGTAATTACCTGTTTTTCTTCTAACCGTAAAAGTAATGCGCTACCGAATATTGCTAATCGCGTAATAATTTTGTGTCGCGTCCATAACTAGTTTTGCCGATCATCAGCAAATCGCTTTATTGCGTGTTGCAATAATTGGTTTCTTTCTATTACAGTCCAGTGGCTAAATTCAGAGAGATTTGGCATGGCAGTTTTCAAGTTGCCAAGTTCAGCGCTAGTGCTTTGACTTTTCTTCTCGTTGGAGGTCTT